AAGTGGGGTGGTCATCCAGGGCTCCATTGGATCTCCGGTTGTTTGAGGGTACTCTTTTTAGGGCGGGATTAAAAGGAAAACAACCGGAAACCCCCCCACTCTTTGGGGGTCCCCCTATGTGACACGTACCCATACGAGGTAATAGTTTCCAGCAGTCTGTCGTCCATTTGGGAGGGGCAAGCAGGACTCATTAAGCTTCCCCACGAAAACCAGCGAACTCACAAGTAATTTGTCCCTGCCTCATCCTAAATTGACAAGGGTCGTGCAGGTGTGTATGTGTGTGTGTGTGCGTTGTTGTAAGAAGAGGTTCTCAAGGACTCATCCAGAAAGGGCACCCTTTTCCCAAGAATGGAAGTTGACGATCAGAGGGTTTCGGAAGACAGCCAGCCTTTGGAAAAGGCCCTAGAGGTCTTTGTGCACGGTTGTTGGAGCAAGGGTTCCCTGGACAGATCAGGCGCTGCAGTTTGCTGATGTCAGCTCCCCTTAAGGGTTCCCTCAAAATACACGACCAGCATCACATTGTGCCATGCTATTTCAAGACGATATCATGCAAAGTCAACGAAATGTGTGTGCGGGATTCATAATCAGGCTCGTGCTTTGTCAACAGGAAGGTGTCCCATGTTTAAATACTTCACTTGTTAGCAGACCACCCGCGATTAATCCGCCAGGTTGAATACTCAAACTGCGGGGCTCCCTTTTGGATGGTGTCCAGCAGGAATCTAATGGAACCAACCACGTTTGGTGCTCATGTTGAGCCCGCCGAATCTCCTTTACTGGATCCCTTATTGGAGTTTATTTCTTGACCTCTTCTTGTTGAAGCTCCCCACAGGCAACTGTCAAGGTTGCGATTCTTCGCTTCGCGGGGCGTGTACGGAGTCCCTTCTCGAAGGTGTCAAAAGGAAAGCCAGGACACGGTTTTTGCATTTGATCATCTTTTGGCGATCCTGGAATCAATCGGGCGAGCAGTTCACCCACATCGTATGGTGACTCAACCTCTCGGATTTGAGGCGCTGCCAGAAGACGCCTGGCCTGCCGCGGCCCCAAACCGAGTCCACCCGCGAAAAGATCTGCGAAAAGGGAGGAAACAAAAAAACACACATCCTCAACTGTACACCAGCTAGTCCATGTGCTGGAGAACCTGGCCCAAACAAGTCATCAAACTGTTTGCTTAAATGGTGCAAGCCCAGAAAGGATACATTTGGGTGCAAGTAGGTGGCACAAAATCCTCCACCCTTACCTACATCTACCTCTTGTGCCATCTACATTCCCCCTCGTGTACCTGGATCCCCACACCCCTTCAGGTTTCCTCCCACCCCATTTGGGCCGAAATTCCTGGCAGCATGGACACCTGGTTCTCAACATTTACCCTTTAAAAAGCAAGTGCTTGGAGTCGGGAAACACCTCGACTTGCCCACTGGGGTCGCTTATGTTTCCGCTTTTGGGACCCATTTCGGGGGAATCCACCAAGAAGAAGCGTAAGATGATCATGAATCATATTCACTACCACCTGTCGATCCAATCAATCTGAGCTTTGACTCATTGCCCCAGCCAGCCTCAGTTTGCATTGCTAAGAAATCACGATAAATCACCCAAGGTCGGAAGGGGATGCCAAAATCCCAAAATGCATCTCAGCGTCCGGCTTAGCAAGCTGTCCAACAGTCAGTCGTTGTGCCCACAGGCAACTGGATGAATTGGATTCATGCGGAGATGTCTTGCAACTGACCTGCCAGTCCCAGCCCCCCAGTTCAGTGGATGCCCATTCTTCCTCTTCGGTTGGTGGGTTCCCGCCAAACCTATGAACCAGGCGAGTCTCGGGGCACGGCATTGTGACCGGGAGTGTTTAAGAAGCCAAGTGAAGCTTTGTACGGTCAGAGGTAGGGTATAGCTTGACCCAGTGTTTTTTTTTTACTCAGGGCTGTGGGAAGTGACCACTTCTGGGATACAAGAAAAAGAAAAGGGCCTCCCAAAGACTAACCCCGATTCCCAAAAGTAGCACAGAAGTGGGGGATAAACCCCGAGTGATCCCACAACCCTATTTTTACATCGATGGTGATGTGGATGTGTGAGATCAGAGGCTTCTAAGATTGGGACGTCAGCAACTACCAGCGCTTGGGACTTCCTGATGGTTTTTGGGGGGGGTTCTCAATACAATGGGCTGTGGCTCAAAAACCCGGTACCAAAATGGAACCCTGGTAAGTGGAAACATGGACCACAACCTGCGTAACCCCTCCTGCTTAATTTTGAGCCACACCCAATGAGGTAATTGTCCGATGGATCCCACAAAACACCCATGTGTTGGGTTCCCACGGACGTTCCGCATTTTTTTCGGATGCAAGTCCGAGAATCCTTCGAGCTTTCTTTATCGCGCCACGCGCTCGCGATGGGCCAAGAGTTTTTGCAGGGCCCAAACGGGTGAGGGGAATTGGAACGTCACCTTCGTGCCTATTTTACTGAGCCTTTTCTTTTGGGGTGACGTTCAGGGACAACTACGTGTTTCCTAGTTGTTTTGCTGCTGTTTGTGGTTTTTGGGTAAATACCTAAACAGGTAGGGGTTGACAAATCATAGCATAAACTCAGCCGGGGTAGTTGGAGATTCGGGGGGGAGCCCGTTCGAGTGCTAAGCAGAGGGCTGGATCCTGTGAAAGCTTAGGCTGCAGCTGAGCTGGAAGCTCAGGTGATGGGACGGCTCAAAGGCTGCATGTGTCAAAATAGGGGTTTGGACCCCAACAACAGCGGTGTTCCTTTGGAATTCCGGCTACCCTCCAGAAAATACAAGCCAGTGTAGGCCATATTTCGTCTGTGTATGTTATTTGTATATATCCAGAATTTATTACCGCCACTTGCAACCGTAAATGCCACTCAGATTCTCCAAACGTGGATCTTGGAGCCTTAGGGCTGGGTTTGGAACCCGAACGGCGACCAATTTTCAGCCCGGAATCAGTTTTGGGGGCCAATAACTGGCAACCCCAAAACAGAATTGAAAAGTTGGTTTTGAAATAGATTTAAAAAGGAAAAAGGAAAACCACATTTTTATATTTTTTTTGCCACCCTCAAGTGGGCCAAGAAGCTCAAGCCGGCTTTCTCAAAGCTCGCAAATGCGTTGCTTCAGCAAGAAAGTGTTTAGGCCCATGGCTCGCACGTGCTCGTTGCCCATCGAGTACCATCAGCGGTAGCTTACGGAACGGATTCATTTCAGGCATTCCGTGTGTAACCTGTTAGTGGTTTCGACAGGTGCCCCCCCCCCCCGTTCTTGAATGCAAATGCACAGGGGCCCGCTCCAAACCAAGCCTAACCATCAGGGATTTGCCTGCCTTCGGAAAACCTTAAAACCTCATCCCGGGCTTCAGGCACCCCAAGTGGTGCAGGATTCTGTTCGATTTTGGAGCTGCTTGCATTTTTTCGGGTATCAAAGGGGAACCGCAGGGATACTGAATCAATCCCATTTGGCGGTCTCATGTCTATCGTCACGACTATTCTCAGAGCACATGGAGTTGATGCGTTGCTTTTGCGTGCTGTGGCTCTCTGCGGGAGGGCGGAAACACCATGAGAAATCGGCCGCTTCCAACTCAGGTTCCTTGCACGCGAAGTTTGGTCCTGTTCATGTCCAAGCGTGGGCTCGGCTTTGCTAAGATCGTGAGTTGGTTTGCCATGTGCCAATGGGTCCCCCTATAAAAACCCGTCCCACCCCGATCTGACCTCTCCTCCAAACACATTTTATGTGATTGGTTAGGAAATATGGAATATTCCGTAATATTCCTGTGTACCCATTCTTCGTCAGCCAAGCTTTCTTGGTCTTGCCATGCTTGTTTCCAACTTTTGATGTTTGTGGTATGCTTGCTTGGTTGGGGGGGGGGGGGTCCGCGAAGAACAGCCCACGCCATTTGCTGACGGTCGGGAACAACCAACAGCACTCCTCGTTGCGGGGGTGCTGGCAACCTGGTAGGGAGTTTCCTAGGGGAGCGATTGGAAAGCAGCCAAACGTTTCGAGGAATCGAAATGGGTATGTCTTTTGTAGACCCTTTTTGATATTCAAGCAGAGTTCCAACACCCTGTTGTATGTTGGAAGCTTCCCATGGCCTTTGGTTTTTGCCATGAGCAGGGGTGAAAGACACCCCTTTGTAAAGTTGGCAGGCACCCTTGTAAACCAGCTGAGCCAATCAAAGCCCGTGTTTATCAAGGCGAGTAAGGGATAGCACCAGGCTTTTTGACATGTTAGATAATGTTGACCCCGGATTAATAAACCCCTGCTTATTCCTTTGGGGGTGTTTATTTTGGGTTATGGTGGGGATTCAGACCACTTTTGGAGGGGAACACCCCCATGTGAATAAACAGGACGTTTAAAATTCATCTGGGGTCAACCAGATCCCTCCCTTGACGTCCGGGTGCCGGTAAGTCGTTGGGACGGATTTCTCTCCGGTCCTAGCCTCCGGTGACTCCAGTCAAGGCCATGGGCGCCCTTCCAGGCGGGCCGCGGACTTTGGTTCGATTTGCCCCCGGTTGGCTGTTGAAGGGGAAACGATCCACTGGACACGTGTGATATTTCTATTATGTTTTTTTGCCCCTGGTTGGTTGTTGAAAGGGATACCAATGAACTGGAAAGACGTTTTTGTTTTTTCTTTTTTTCTGCATGTGATTCGGGGGCAAGACGAGCTCACCATGAAGGTGCTTTACTTTGAGGCTGCCAAAGCTTAGCTGCGCTTGGCCACTTGTCTCAAGCTTTGCATTGCATGCGGCGGCTCCCACATGCACGTGCAGCACCGCCAAGTCAATCCGGAGTAGGACATGGGCACTCAAGAAAGAAACTGTCAAGGCTCAGGTCTGAAACCAAAGCCTTGGGGCGCGAAAGCCTGTGTCAGGTTGGATGTGATGAAGTTTCCACTTTTTGAAGCCGTTTTGTAAAGAGTTCCTGCTGATAGCCAGCCCTTGTTTCGACAATCCAACGGGGACATGGCGTTCGTCAGCTTCATTGTTTTGCCTCTATAACAGAAGCGGCCGGCGCCATGAGCCTCTTTCTGAAGCGTGCTCGCCACATTTCCCGAGCTCGATCGATCGCCGGACTGGCGCATGTGGAGACGCCCTTGATCTACTCGGAGCCGTTCTCCAAGCATTTGGGGGCAGAGGCTCAGTTGTTCAGTGGCGCCCTTTTTCCCTCTTTTTTTGGTGGCTGCCCCACTAAAAATGGTCTTCCCCCCAAAAAAACTGAGGAGGTCTACTTGAAGTTGGACCTTCTTCAGCCCTCGGGGTCCTTCAAGTTGCGTGGCATCGGTCAGACGGTGAAGGAGGCGGCGGAGGCGGGGGCCAAGTGCATCGTGTCCTCCAGCGGTGGCAACGCGGGGCTCGCGGCGGCCTATGCCGCGCGCAGCTTCGCATTGCCCTGCACGGTGGTTCTGCCCAGCTCCACGCCGCAGTCGGTGCAGCAGCGCCTGGCCTTCTACGGGGCCGAGGTGTTGGTGCATGGGGACGTGTGGGATGAGGCGGACCGCAGAGCGCGCGTGGTGGTGCAAGAGCAGAAGGGCGCATACGTGCATCCCTTCGACCAGCCGTCCACCTGGAAAGGTCACGCGACCTTGGTGGAGGAGTTGAAGCGGCAGATGCCGGCTGAGCCGGACGCCATCGTCACCTGTGTGGGCGGCGGCGGGCTGCTGATGGGCATCCTGCAGGGTGTGGAGGCCGTGGGATGGCAGTGCCCAGTGATCGCCTGCGAAACGCTTGGGGCCAGCTGCTTGCACAGCTCTCTGCAGGCGCAAGAGTCTCAGTTGTTCAGTGGCACCCTTTGTCCCTTTTTTTATGGTGGCTGCCTTACTAAAAATGGTCTTCCCCAAAAAGGGTTCCCTTTTTGTTGCAGGGTCACTGAACTGAGGAGTTGGTCACCCTGCCCGCCATCACTTCCATCGCCAAGTCCCTGGGCGCCCTGCGTCCCAGCAAAGCCGTCTTCGAGAAGTGCCGGCAGCTGGGCGCCGACCAGTTCCAGTCCTTGGTCTACAGCGACCAACAGGCGCTAAAGGCGTGCCTCAGCCTGGCGGACGAGCACCGGCTGCTGGTGGAGCCCGCCTGCGGCGCGGCACTCTGCGCGGTGACTCAGCGCGCCGAGGCGCTGCAGGGCGCCACGCGCGTGGTGGTGGAGCTCTGCGGCGGGGCGGTGGTGACCTCAGCTCAGCTCGCGGAGTGGGCGCGGCACCATTCGTGATGAGACCGCGAAGGGCTATGAAGCGGAAAAACTCGCAGAAAAAGTGAGATTTGGTTTTATGTGCTTAGGGTTGGGCCAAGCACTCTGCTGGTTGGGGTCGAGGTTGAAGCATCGGGTTTTAATGCATACCCGTTCTTTAGTGTGGGGTTGGCATCGTAGCCCCAAAATTCGAGGGTACTTGTGGTATTAGAGGGTAACAATTCGGGTGGTGACTCCCCAAAGGGAACAGCTGAGTGTTCTTGGGGTTCTTAAAAAAAGTCGAACTCTGGCACTTGTCATAGAATACAGAACCCCATTCAACGACAGCAAAGGAAGGCAACCATTGGGAGTCACACATTTTCAGACATGCCAAAGGAACGCTTTGATGCCGTAGATACCCAGAGCAAAGACAGGCAAAGCCAGTAAGTGTTCAGGTGTCAAATGCTGCCCGGTGTCAGAACGAGGCGGAACAGGTTGAAATGGGGTTTTGCCCTTTAAGGAAAACTCTTTCAAAAAGATTTCCTTCAGGTTCTATATTGAAAGGAAGGGCCCTTTTTCCAGTTATAACAGGTGACAGCTTTGTGGAAGCACTTTGCGCCCTGACCACTTATGATATCCTTCATGGTGCAAGAAGCAGGGGTACCTTCGGTATCAACCTCGGCAAGACAGAAGTCGAAATGCAATTCCCACCAACCTCTTGAGCAAAGTTTCTGGACTGCACTCCGTTTGGGCTTGGGTCATGTTAGCGGCCACAGAAAATAGACCAAACTACAGGGCTAGCAAATAGGCTACCCCCCCCCCCTCCCACCGGCTATCAAATGGTTTGTCAAGTCATCCTTTGGGCCCAACGAACTTCTGACCCTAGGGTCGAATGGCCCCCTTGTGACGATTTTTCGACAGGCTGCTGAGCCGTCCTCCCCGAGCAAGCCGCTCGAGCGCGAGGCTTAAAGAAAGCATTGGCCACGGTGGTGAAAACAATGAGAAGGAGCTCTGTTGCTCAGTGGCGCCCTTTTTCCCTTTTCTTGGGCAGGGTTCCCCTTTAAACTCAACCAACCCAAAAAAAGGTGCCGTTTTTGCCCATGGCCACTGGGCATCTGAGGAAGGGTGCCGGCAAGACTGCGGGCCCTGTCCTTTTCACAGGAAAGTGAACAATGAGTAAGTAAGTTGTAACCCTCTTGGCTGCCATTTGGTTGGATCAACAAGCAAGAAGCAAAACTTGTTTGCAGGGGACTAACCTTACTTCGGCCCCACTTCTCCCGTGTTTGTCCAAGATAACCTGCTCACGTGGATTGAAAGTCCGCACTTCCGGGAGAAAAACAAACATCCGACGCACCTCCAGGAGGTGTGTGTTGGGGTAAATGGTGTGCGTGCCAGCTGCAGTCCTTTCGTTTGCTTCTCTTGCATCATTGAGGTCGCGCACGTGGCAGCATCCTTGTCATGTTGCTGCGGCCACATCTCTTCTCCCAAACGCTCTCGATTGAAACGCCCTTCAAACAGCCAGGTTTTGAGACGAGACCCAACCCGCGGTGTCCAGGGTCTTCCACTGCAAGTTCTCGACGCAAGTTCCCCCGGAAATGCGTCGGACCAAGGACGGAGACCTGGCCTGCCTTCGCTCAGGCGCTTTTTTCCACCTTTTCTGAGGGACATCTTGGCGTGTTTCCACCTTTGCTGCACAGGTGGAGAAAAGGTGGGACAATTGAGTTCAACATCCACGGGCCAGATTTGGGGATGTGATTTGGCAGTCTAATTCTACCTTCTGTGCTGCGGTTGTCACTGACGGACCTGTGGGATGGAAGTTGTTGGTAGGTTGACACTGGCTTCCTTTGAGTTCGGATTCCAAGAACCCCTCATTGATGTTGCAGATTCCAAAGTGCGACCTGAACGGGTTGCAGAACCTGGTCCTTGTGCCATTGCAACCCATTCTTCCCTGAGCATCAAACCCTTCAGTGGGGGGAGGGACATCCATCGTAAGGTTTTGGAGCTCAGCATTTGCCTTTTTGAGGGTCCAAGATTCTTACGCTTGTTGTTCAACCTCTTTTGGGAAAGCCTTGCCAACCCCGAATCTGCCTCAGGCAACAGAAAGAAGCCTTGCAACACGCTCTGCCATAGCATTGCACTGTAGGAAACAGTCCTTGCCCCAAATTCAAACCCCAGTTTTGGTTTGGGGATGTCACTTAGCCTTCGAGTTGATCCAATGATCCCATCTTTTTGTTGCCCGAGAGACTTTCACGCCGAGCTTTATGAATTTGTTCAGCGCCCAAACGTTGGGGTATGGCTTTGGAATCCGTACATGTTCAGCTGCAATCGGACCAACCGCAAGCCGGTAATTCATGTAAGCTCTTTTGACAGTTCCCACAGGTGATACATGAACAGCAGGGTCGAGACGACCCCAGAGATAATTTGCGGAGGACAAACCTTACAGGGATTTGGACCACCAAGATGGAGGTTGGTGAGGGACCCAGCGCGGGGCGTGTGTTTTCCGTGAGGCCGCGTTTTGTGTTTAGCTGGCGAGGCTGAACCTGCCTCGCCAATGCAGCGCGAGCAGAGGCAAGAAAGTCCACAGGTGCCAAGTAACCACACAAAAGGAAGCCAAACGGATATATGAGCAACTAAAGGGTGTAAGTGATATGCATTTTTCGGCGGAATAGGGTAAAAGCTTCCAAACACGATAGTATCTTGGAAAGGACCAAGGATCATCATATGGCGTCTCTTTAAAACAAAGAATTCAGGGGTATTCCAGTTTGGCAGGTGGGGGATGCTTTTTGGACTTGGGTTTTGGACATGGGAAAAAGCAGGCGTTGGAGGGTGGTGGTATGTTTCATCCTTTGGCGTCTCACGTGCAACTGCGAAATGGAAAAGCGAGCCGGGCCATCCCACGCGCGAGAAGTTCACGTCTTCGAGCAATTTGCGCAATACTGAACCCAATCGAACCACAAATGAACTGGCTGAGATGGAGCAATCAATCCCTGGCCCTCTAAAAAAATGACGGGAGTTGTTGAATAGGGGGAGGGGGGGCCAGCAAGAATGGCAGGCCTCCGGTCCACAGGGTAACAAAACCAACACAAAGCCGGGCCTGAACCAAAATCCCCATGTCATTAGGGCAACCTTTTTGACGCACCACATGGTCAACACCAGGCGGAAAAATAATATACTGTTGGTTTGGCAGAGGACATGGGTATGGTCAAAAATAGGGGACACGCAAAGCAGGTGGTTTACCATTGAACACCACCCCAAGAAAGGTATCGCCATCGCATATACACCCCCAGACGATTTAGCTTCTCAGACAAGCCCTATGAGAGCCCTATGAATGTGGTTTGTAGGTTTCTAAGTTGGAAACCCTGTGTTTTGGAGAGGAAAACCCATATTTCCAAGAGGGCCTCCTCACGGAATCTCCAAGGAGACGGCTTTGAGGTTCTGGTGGAATGGTAAGTATTCGGTATCCAGGGACTATGTAACATTTGGTAACAACACTGGCTGCACCTGATGAGGGGCTTGCCTGGATCCTTTGAGCAAACCGGCTGACCTCTCCACACATTTTCTAGTGGGAGTCGGAACATGCTGAGGGTTCCATTTAAAGGAACATATTATTGGCGGTGCAACCACGCCATGTAAAAAAAAAAAAAAAAAAAAAAAAAACTATTACCTTGTGCCGGTAGGAAGGGATGGCCATGGACCCTTCTGGGATTTTTTGGACAAGGGCTCCGGAATCATGACCACATATGACCACAACCCGCACGAGTTTTGACCGTGCCAGTTCTCAAATCGGACTGAGGACCTCTTCAAATGATAAAAGTCACACCGAAGGAGTCTTAAGAAGAGGCCATTGATTCTGGCATGGCTTCGGGCTGAGGGGATGGTTTCACCGCAGAATCCGGAATTGAGCAAATCGAGGGTTTCCAAGCACCATACCTTCCTGATTGGCTTTACCATGGGAACCCCTTTGCTGCAGGTTCCTTTAAAAGCCCTCTTGGGTGTTGATGGTTTCCGATGTCCAACCGAAGAGCCGACAAAAAGCAAGCTGCGGCTGCCTTAAGAGCCCTGGATTTCCAAACTGGAGAACAACAGCACACTCACCTAGTTTCCCTGGCAGATGAGAATTCACAATTCATAAACCGCTGGTTGATTTACTGCGTGACCCATTCAGCCAGGGAGCCCTTTTCATTCAAGAAGCTTCTCACTTGAGGAAGAACCGCCCTTCATCCGCACGTGTTTTGTTTTATGTCCGGGGTCGACATTCGCTGTGAGCGTTCAAGCTGTCACAAGTACCCAGTTGTTCATTGGCACCCCATTCCACTTGTTGCATGGCTTCCTACCGACCCATTGATGTCCATAAAAAGTCGAATTCCGCCAAATCGTGGCTTGAAGATGGAACTCGTATTTTTGTTTCCATAAATTTAGGGGGGCCAAAGCAAAACCCCACCAGTTCCAATCACTCCAACTCGGATCATCGAACTTCTGTCGCCGACATCAGGCCTGAGACCTGGCCTGCCTTCGCTCAGGCGGTAGAGACGGGGGAAATTGGGTTCACTTCAAGGGCCAGCCATCGATTTGGGGGGGGGAGTTGCCGCCCAAAAGGCGGAGAAAAGACGGGAACTTGGGGTCAGCCCAAAAAGGTGCCAATAGTCTTTTTGCCCTTCCTTTCGGGCGCTGGGCTGTGGGATATGATTGGTTTAAGATTGAAACTTTCGCAACCAAGGAGTCCTTTTGAAAGTGATAAAGTCGAGAATGTAGAATTGTAGGAACAGTAAAGGGAACGCCCACTCTGGCACATAAAGGGTTGCTTCCCACAATCATGGCAGGTTATGACAGGGTGGGTTGCATGGCCTCTTTTTATTGCGGGGCTACTTTCTTGAGCCCTCCCAAAACTACATCGATGAAGATGTCTTTTGCAATGGAGATCAGCAGAGGATCCTTGGTGATGCCTAGGGAAGAATGGCTTGATGACTCAAGGGCTATCACCCTCCACTTTTGAAGCTACTCCGCAGATGGGCGGTGGGGGAGCAGGGAGGGGGAATGCCTGT